CCTAAGGCATGGGCACGGCATGAGGCACTAGTGTATGGCCTGGTGCCAATGTGCCCGGCATGCCCACTTGCAGACCCTAGTAATAATGCACATGGACGTTATTTTGCTTCATTAAAATCTCATATTTGGCTCAAAATAACGCGACCCTACCGAATCTGAACATAGTTGGATTGGCATATATGGCTAATGCTATATATTTGTTATGCCGAATCTATTATGTTCTGATATAAAAATGATTCGAAATATCGCACATGTGCGCCCCGAAATAATGCTCAAAATAAAGCACAAATACGCGTTATTACGCGCTTATACGGTAATCATAAAGTAATATATCTGATATTATAATTACCTCTAACCACTCATAAAATACAACCCATTTTCCGGTTTCTTTGTCTTTCTTAATTCTTCGAACATCAATCTGGCAAAATATTTCACAGCCATGATTCCATGCATCAGAAATATAATTCATTAATGTGCTGTTCTTACTACCATCGTTAACACCAGTGGAATCATTTCCAGTAAGTGTTGACTTTGATTGCCTAACACCAGCAGAATTAACTCGATTTTCAAAAGTCACGGTGATTGGAGGACGATAAAAATTTTTAGCATATTCAGGACCAAGTTTTTTTGCTTGTTCTTCTAAAACTTTAAGTTTATGGAGTTCAGGAAAATGTTCAGGGTATGGTACAGGTTGAAGCATTGCTCCTGCTCGTTTCTAACCTATATATATATATATATTTTTTCAAAAATAATATTGTTTGGTAATAAATTTTTAAGCTATATGATAAAATTAATAAAAAATAAATTCCTACCCAATTCTATGCCTTCTTTATCTTTACGAATTTCTTCAGGCCAAACGGGCATATCCCAAACACGTTTATCAACTTCAAGAGCAACATTAGCATTTATGAGAGAAGTTCCTCCAAGTCTAATTTAAATATATGATTTAAATTTAAAATCAATACATAAAAATTAACTAGATTAAAAATAAATAATAAAAGATAATAATAACGATAACAGATAATGATAAATGTTAATAAATTTCACCTACCCGCAACCTACAACAGCAGATTGATCACTTCCATAATAAAGATGATACATTCCGGTTTTTTTACCCGTTTGTATTTCACCAGATTCAGATTGAACTTCTTTAAAACAATCAATAGTTTTTGTAGGATATTCTCCTGGCCATCTTTCTTTTCCTATATATAAATTATTATTATTGGTAAGAATTATATGTATATCGATATACGTATTTTTGTTCTTTATCATGTGACCGGTATCCTATATTGAGAACTCACAAAAGCGAATCGTAATATGTATTAAATAGCTTTAGAACTGAATTTTTTACATTGATTTTACTCTCACATTATAATTAATTTGTCAAATAAAAAAAAAAAACAAAAAACAAACAAACCTCTCTCTAATAACGCAACACGTTTTCCTGCTCTTGACATACGTGATGCAGCGATACTTCCACCATACCCGGATCCGATAACAACCACATCATAATATGGTTTCATTTCAGGCACGGATAATGATATATGAGGATGTTCACTTTCATGATTTTCTACACTCATTATTTTTCAGTTGAATTTGCTTTGCTGAGTTCGTTAAAATCTTTATAAAATTCTAACCCTTTCAGTATAGAGTTTCGGAAAAGGTTTCGGGGTTTCGGAAAAGGTTTCGGGATTTTATATATAGTTTCGGGTTTCGTTGCCCAACTCTAAATGCAAACCATACTAGGTACTTACGTACGTACGTACATATCGATATGTATGTAGGTCAAATATTACTAAATAAGTATAATCATTCAATAATAAAAA